TTTTTGACTGCTTCTTTCGTTATATTTATAAAATTTGCGCTTTCGTTGGTTACATATTTATAGAATTTATGTTACCTAAAGAACGACAATTTTCAGTTGTAAATAATTTTTTTTTTTTTTGGTTGTGAAAAATTCATTAGAACAATATCAAATAAAAAAAGCATGAAATATATGTATGTACCTATTAAAAAATATTTCATTTTTAAATTGAGAGCCTTATTTACTTACCACAGTTAGAATTATCCGATTTATGTTAAATATGCACAGTTTTGCTCAATAACCTTTTGCCATTTTGAAGGTGATGTCATTATGCGTCTCTCATAGAAATCCTTTAACCTATTTTCACAGCCTTCACCTGAGGCCAATTCTTTGCCAGCCAATATTATTCACCATACGCAGAAACAGATGGTAATCACCTGTTGCACGTGCGCACTATATCGTGGATACGATTCTTTCGACCAAGCTCTCGGAGCTTTTCGTGAGTCACTATCGTGGTCTAGCGTTGTCTTGATGAAGCACAATACCCCTTTTGTTGGCCAAAAACAATAGCCGACAGTACAGAGCCCAATTCGGTTTGGATGTAGGGGAGCTGTTAATACTGGATAATCCCTTGCCATTCCCATCAAACACACAACAATACTTTCAAGGCCGTCAACACCGGTTTTAGGATTTTTAGGGCTGCCTCACTGATCCACTTTTCATCATCAGTCATCATCTGCTTGAGAAATGGGTTAATTTTGTTAAGTTTCAGCAGTGATTCGCAGATGGAAATTAGATCCATAAAGTTTTTCTCTTATCTGAAACCTATACATCGTGGTTTTTAGTGTTTCCAGCCCAACCGGTTTTGGTACAATGTTTAGCTCTTGGGTCCGATCGAAATCGGACAAAAGTAAAATATAACTGTCATACGCCGATTTGATCAGAAATGAGGCGTTGGTCAAAACTCTCGTCAAAAAAGCTTCTAAGGATATGAAATTTGCTAATAAAGAATCTTTTTTACAAATAAACATTGGCATCGAAATAGGAAAATTTCATCATATATAGTCCCTACAACCAATTTTTCAGATATAAGAATTAATATTATATTATATTTAATCCTAAAATGAAATACCATAAATTTAATATGGACATAAAAGGTATACAGATTTCGGCATGAGCACAGAGAGCACTCGAAACGGTGTCCTCGGAGTGGGATTTTGAGTTTGCAAAATGGCGAGAAGTAGCACAGAGGCATAGCAGGCGAATACGCTGGTCGCGCAATGATACGTATCGAGTTTTTGGTGAAAGTCTTGGTGGAACTTTTTGCCACCAATCGTGATTGACACTCAAGATGGACGATTTCAAACCACCATTTCTTTGAATTTGTTAACGCGCCTCGTCTTCAAAGCTCTTTCGAGCCTCCTTGAACACTTTGTAGCACTCATAAATTCTAGCTTTCTATAGAGCTTGCTCACCAAAGGCCTTTGTTGAAATTTTCAGTGCCTCAGCAGAAATTATTTCATACCGCACACATAGGCTGAGTTTCTGAACCCGTGCAGTAAAAATCCAGTAACTGGACATGCATTGTCTAAAACTGAAATAATTGTTTTATAATATTTTATTTTGTTACCATTTAATATATAAATAAATGAATACAAGACTTCAATAATAAAAAGTTCACTTCTGCGCATGCTTCATGGGTCGTAGTGATGCCTTTGGAGTCACAGAAATTGCCAAGCTCCATAGTCAAGTAAAAGGTATGCCCTTCTACAAAAAGAATTATAGGCGTTTTTATTTAATATTTTTTTCTGCCAGCCTCTAATATATACAATTCGTAGTGTATACGAAGAAAGTCTCACTTTTGATCCAATAACTTTATGTTCAATAGAGAAATTAATATTCAGATATGCTATTGACTATGTCTTTTGGTGGTCTAAGGTAAGGAAATATCGTCATTGATTTGGCGAAAGAATCGCGTTAAGTTGTTATTGTATCTTTCTCAGGACCCGTAGTTGTCAGATATATGTTTCTGTATCCTTTCGGTGCTATGACCTTTCCAGTTATTGGACAATGGGAAAAACTGGTTTCATTGACATTAAAAACATGAGTCGAGTCCTATAAAATGGAACTCCTATTTCTTCACTCTTCAGTTCAAATACATATGTACGTTATAAACTTTATAAAAGAGTGTCTGCTTCGATTATATTTTTTTAAGTTTTAAAATAAGTCAAACAGTCAAATTCCAAAGATATTGTAAATTCAACTTTCCAGGAGTTTTTCGTCCACAGTAGTACAATAGATTATTTATCCACTAATTAATAAAAAGTTTTAAATGTAATATCTATTCAAAAGCGTCGCTTGTATATAATTTTTGTAAATATTGCATATTTTATGCTACAAGACTGTAATCAGTTTGAGTTTTTGGGTTAGTCATATGTACATACATACAAGGATAAACCGTTTGCTAACTAAAAGTCAATTTATGCTCTAAGACAATATAGTAAATGAACCAATTTGCCTGCTATCTTCATGGAATGTAATCATTCATAAATATAATATTTTGCATATTCACATAACCAACGCGTGCAACAACACTGCCCCAATGTTTCCTGCTAACAATTTACGGTTGTGTTTTTGCGGTGTTTACGGCTCTTGCGGCTTGCTGTTAACTACTCGCACCACGACCGCCGAGACGCTCAGGTTGTGACCGCAATGACGTGCTGTTATTATTTTGTATTATGATTAAAACCAACAATTGTTGTTGTTGTTGCTCGTACTATCTAAGTATGTATGTACATATGTATATATTTTTAATTATTTTTCTCTTGTTTGTTGTATCGGCTTGTTATTATATTGTACTATGTAATCTACTCGTATGTATTGTTAAATCAATCGTAAAACCGAATTGGCAGAACCGGTGGAATGTTGCTGTTTGTCTGATGTAGAGCTTCTGGTTTGACTGCCACCGCCCACTGCCACGCAAAACATACATACATGTATGTATCTTACAGTATACACATTTCGACCTATATATTTACTTAGAATTATACGTGTGTACGTATGTATGCATGTATGTATGTACGTATTTGCAAGTGCACGATTATGCCACTATAAACACAATATGCGATCATATGTATATATATGTACATATGTACATACAGTACATACATTAGTACATTTGTACGTAATGATATTTGCTTACGTTATTATGTTCATTTGTATGTAAACAATTTCAATAATTTTCCTCATTATTATTTTAATTTGCATCGTTGTACATATGTACATGTGTACATGTGTACATGTATATTATATATGTATTCAAGTTTCTGTTCTTGTTTTTACGATTTTCCATTGTTTATTTTTTTCCTTAGGAAAATTTATGTAAAATAACCCCCTAAAGTAGGCGAACTGTGAACAACCAGTCGTCATACGTCAGACCGGCCGCAATGAATGGGTCTGGTTTTATCAGGTGGCGGAGGCGTTTTTGGGGTACATACGATATTGTTTTCTTTTGCGGTTGCGTTATGCTCATTCTCGGTATTGTTGTGGTCACCTCTGCCTCCAACCACAAAATATTACACTTTGCAAACTACCTGCCTGCCCGTCTGATGCCACAAATATATATAGATACATATATATGTATGAATGTACTTTATATACATACTTTGTTTGTATGTAAGTATTTCTGCGTAGTGCCGTATGTAAACTTCGTAAAGGGTGTACCTATAAGAGATGTTATTCTGTATAAACTGTTACTTCGGCAGATGTCGCCTTTGAAGCCGCAATTTTTTTTGTCGTTTGGCAAGTAAAAACTACATTAGGCGCTTGAAATGAATAAAATTCACTATAAAAATAATGAAAACCTGACAGAGACATTTTTAGGTCCTCAGGAAGCGCCTCGTCGGAGCGCAATACAGAAATCGGCGTAAAAAGTGGAGCACAAGTTAGTGATGTGAATAATTAAACATATACACGTTGCTCAAGAACAGCTAAGAATATTGCTGCGATAGCCCAATGTGATGAAGAACACCCAGGTTTGTCCATTTCCTATCGCTCTTTGAAATTGGGCATTCCACAGACGACATTACACCGTAGTTTACATAAAGATTTGGGTCTTAAGGCTTAAAAAGTTCAATTAGCACAAGAACTCAAGCAAGCTGATTGCCAACAAGGTCGCATCTTTGCTGATTGGGTACTTGAAATGCATAAAAATGATCGGGAATTTCATCACAAAATGATCTTGACTGATGAGCCTCATTTCCACCTCGACGGCTACGGCAATAAGCAAAACTGTCGCATCTGGGACTCGAAAAACCCAAGATTTATTGTATCTTCATTCTCAAATTGTAACTGTTTGGCGGTTTGGTACAGTTTTTATTATCCGGCGTGGTCATTGGGCCTTACTTTTTCGAAAATGAGTTACGTTGAATAGATAGCGCAATCGAAAGATGTTTAATGATTTGAATGGTATTTATCTGGACAACGTTTATTTTTAACAAGATGACGTTACGTGGCTCACAAGCAACGAAAACAACAATTCTTTAAGGGTACATTTTCCGGACTTAACTCTCGAATAGTTGATCGCAATTGGCCATCAAGATCTTGTGATTTAACACCATGCCACTTTTTCTTTACTTTGGGATTATGTGAAGCATAAGGTCTACACCAAGCGGTCAACGTCGATTCAAAACCTCAAAGATGGAATTCGTGAAGCTTTCGAGGGCGAACAGCAGCACATAAGCAGAGACGATCCCGTAAGCGTAGCCGTGGTGACTATTTGCTTGATAACGTCTTCCATTATTAATGGCATATCTTCCGTTTTATACATTAAAATAAACTAATCTAATAATAATGATCGACATTAATTAAAAAATAATACATTTTTCTTTGAATATCAAAGTAACACCTCCTATTGGAAAACCCTGTACATCATTTGTTGTGTGTTGCCATTTCCATCACATAATGGCATTTATTTATTCATATACCTATATAATTTTGCTTCATCCACGTTTAGTTGGCTTTTGTTTTCATAATCGTGCGCTTCTTGTTCGATCGTTGAACGCGTGTCGACGCATAAAATCGTAATTTGCAAACTGTTTTTTTGACTTCTTCGCTTTGCGTTTTGTTGTGGCAACGATAGTGTGCAGCGGACGGTAGTCGATAGTTGATACTCTTGCGTCTTACAAGTTGTCTTGAGCACTCGTATTAATTACACCATAAATTGGCAGTTTAACACAAAAATTGAAATATTCGAAGAAAATTATTGTGCATGGAATTGTAAGTCGTAAATTTAGCGCGCTATTAACTTGTCTTGGATAAATTTTTTTTTCCTTTTATCACTTTTTCTTTTGCTACTGTTGTGTAAGCTCACAAATGAATTCCCTCACACAGGCGCTAAAGCATGTGAATGTTTTTTTTGTTTTTGGCAAATCGTTTGGTATTTTTACTGTCACGTTATCAGTTTGCCGTTTGGTGCATGTAAATAGTGGCGGAGAAGAACTTTTTTTAATAACAGTGTGCGCAAAAAGTGTATGTGATTATTGAAGCAACTGAAAACAAGTCTTTTGGCTTTGAGTTAATTGTTTCTTAGACATCGCGTGCCGGAAAGAAAGTTGCAACAACAGAAATATTAATATTTTTTGGGATATAGAAAATGTGAAAAAATTCTCTTATTAGATTGTAAACTTCCAAAACAAATTGAGTGACACAGCATAGAGGCCGGCATATGCATTTTTATTTTAATATTACACATTATAAGTACATTTATTAAATCTACATACACGGTGAGTCCCAAAAATAACCGAACTTTTTGGATATAAAATAAAATACAAATTATATTATCTTTGAATGTTATTATTTATTCAAAATAGGTTCCATTTGACTTAACACGAACGATTGGAACGATCAACCAGCGCATGCATAGATTTTTTTATGTCATTTATAGAAATGTTCCTCAGTACCTCGGTTACGGCTACTTGAATGGCTGGGATATCATCATAAAATGCTCCCTTCATCTTGGATTTCAGTTTTGGAAATAAAAAATAGTCACATGGTGATAGATCAGGCGAATACGGAGGATGGTCGATGAGAGAAATCCCTTTTTTCATTAGAAATCGAGCGATTTTTTGGTCGTCATTTAATTCATGTGGAACAAATCGCGCACAGACCTTTCTTTTCCCCAAATCTTCAGTTACAATACTCCAAATAGTGTTTTTACTCATATTTAATTGCTCAGCCAACATCGTAGTAAAATTTCGATACCAATGATTTCACGGACTTTTTCCACCAGTTCAGCACGATTACTAGTTTCTGGACGTCCTGCTCTAGGGTCGTCATTTAAATCCTCACGACAATTTTTAAGGCACACTTTTGGTTTTATTGAAATGGCTGTCACTCTTACATCTGTCACCCAACTTACATGATGTTAGGTGCGTTTGAAAGAGGATGAATGTATCTTTTTAATGTTGCAAATTTTCAATAGATGGCGCTGTATTTTGTATGATTTAAATATAAAGTTCGGTTATTTTTAGGACACACGTATACCACTTTCTGATTTATGGTTTTCAAAAAAGTTCTGGGCAAAAATCATAAAACATTACCAGACAAGTTTTTCCTGGTCATTCCGTCCATTAAGGGTCTTATGCTTTACCAATTGTCGTATCTCTTAACTTTGGTCTCTATCTTGAGATACCATATTGTGGTGACTTAGAACAATAAATTCTAGCTAGAATGGTTTTTTTTAACAATTTGGAGGTTTTGGCAAGACAAACGGTACTATGTATGGTTCGTTTGACCAAAGACTTGTGGAACTGGTTTGGATACCTCTCAGTCCAAATCAATGTTTTAGCAAATGCCGAATGCCCAAGTTATTAGAAGTCTCAAGCACGGTACACAATATCTATTTATGTGGCACTCAAGATTCATCTTGATTCCTCCCAGCAAACCCAAACTAGTCTAAATAGCAATGTGAGGAGAGAGTGGGAGAGGTCGGACGCTTAAATATATCCTTGAACAGGCATTTACCTCGTCTGTTTGTTCGACTGGCCCAAAAACGCTATACTAAATTCAATAAGCTTATTGTTGTTATTGATAAAGCAACCGCAAATATATGTCTCAAATTGGTTTTCGGAGAATATTGCGAGAGTGACAGCCCTTAGTCGGATAAAAATCCGCGACGCTCCGATATAAAGAGATCTTTACTCTCGCAAAAACTATTGGATTTTAGTCGCTTCTTACTAATGCTTGCCTTAACATGGTTAAATACACGAACGCCCAACCCGCAGGGTAACCTACTCGAAGGCTTAGCTGCTGCCACACGGTATCACGTCATTAACCTTATAAAGGCAATGATATTTCCAAGTTTCAGCGAGACAGTCGAAGAAGTGTTTCCCCGATGAATTTGTGTCACGCTGATATAAAGAGTGGGCAGGTAGTATCCAATAGATTCCTCCCATTTTTGAACCATCATTAAAGTGATAGCTGTGGTGAGGCCCATTTAATTTCCCATATACAAGTTTGTATGTCCAGAGAAAAGTAGTTGAGGTGAGTAAGTAGTGCTGTTGAAGGAATTGATGGCAGTGCTACTGTTAACAGGATAGCAACCAACCATGGAACTTTCTCTAATTTGCTCTTGAAAGTAATTTTCTCGTGTAGAGTAGAGTAGGATTCGTCTTAACTTAACGTAACTTCCGATGTATAAATCTAGTATACGACATTCGGCCTTTTTTCTTTACGACGAACACCCCTCCCGCCTAACCGGCTGAGAAGTGCGCCTGAGAGATAATCGAAAAATCCAACAGATGGGTGTCCGAAAACCATTGACTGTTCGAACGACTGCTCGAAACCGATCGCGGAAGGTCGCGATTACACTTGCCTGTTACACTAAACAGCTACAGATTTGTTCATCAGCTGCTATGAAATTACATGGGAAAGGGAGAAGGAATTTACTTAACTATTTAAAGCACTCAATAAGTAGATTTTGTTACAGTAAAGCGAATCAGAGGAATTAATGCTGGCGAAATGTGTATTAAAATCGTTACAAAAAGATCTAAAAGGGTCGTGGATTTCTAAGTTTGTTCTGAACAGACCACATATTTTTCATATCGTCTTTTACAAACATGAAGTCCAGTTATAGCGTTCTGTGATGTTTCTGACATGTTCTGACTCGAGTTGAGTTTACTATCTAGATTTTTCCAACGCTCTTTAGTTTAGGTGGCTTAATAGTGAGCGGTTTGTATCTTCTGGCAAATAGAACCATCTCGGGTTTTCCAGGGTCAACATCAACTCCGATGTCCTAGCAGAAGTTCTCTACTATGTGCAGGGCGTAACATAGGTTTTCGCAAAGTGGTCTCAAGGAAACCGCATTAAGCTTGATATTTTATTCAAATGCTCTTATTGCCTTTGATTTGATTTCGCTGTAATTTAGAAAATCTCTGCGTTATCTTAACTTTGATTGCAGGAACTTACTTTAGATGCATAAAAGATTATATTCATAATGCAACACAAATTTATGTATCCAGCAACGCTACCGAAGTCACGAGTACCAATGAGATCTGAAATGAATTCTTCGGTTAATTTGGATTCTTCAAAAGTCTCCATTGAAGGTATTTCTAATGCCAAATTTGCGCATTATTCTTGAACACATTTGCTGTGAACCATCGCAATTTTTGAATTATAACCCATTTCACCATTAATTTATATTCAAAACCGATCGTCTAATGGCTGTTAATGTATGTATGTATGTAGGTAAATGCGTACTACGTGCTGCAGCGCCATTAGGTGGACACACCGCCGCTGCTGTTGCCAGATGCCCAGCCTTCGACAAATATGAAGCGTGCTTATTTGTTTAGCTGGCCATATGTGGATTTTATCTGCCATTTATTATAATCGTAATGGACTTTAATTCATTTGCAAACTCAATGAATGCATTGTGTGTGCGCTACACGGTTATTTTTAGTCTTGTTTTCCCTTCGAACGCGTGCTCGCGTATATATGGTTTGTGGTCTAGAAAATGCATTTATAATTTATTGCATAATATTTTCTTCTAAGGAAATATTTATTGCACATAAATATATTATATTTACACACATACAAACGTTTGCTTTATGCGTAGAAAAAAGTTGAAAACTAAACTTCAAGACGATTACGAAATTTCATGGAATATGTACACGTATGTACATATGTATGTAGTGCTAAGTTTTTGCTCTAATTTCGTAAGAGTTTGCAAATGTTGTGGCTGTTGCCTGCAACACGAGATCGACATGATCGATAAGCATATGTGTGGATGTGTGTGTATGTCTTCAGCTTTTGTACTGGTTCTGGTTTCGTAAATTTTCAGTTCATTCGTTCATTTCGCTTACTGCTTTCTAAGTTCATTCTACGCTCGTCTTAGGTATCCAAATCGTTTCAATTACTTATAAATTTGTATCTTTCTTACTCTGTAGGTATTTGCACAAATTCATTTGTTGGCAGCTTCTATGGGTATTATCGCGAGCAATCTTAATTGAAATTAATTAGTTGGGTCGTCTCGGCTGTTTCATTTTCCTCTTCCCGTTCCTCTTGTTTTGTTCTTTTCATATTTTGAAACTTTTAGTTTAATTGGTTGATATTTAGGTATGTATGTGTTTCGAAATGTTTGACCGTTTTTGGTTGATGACTGAATGCAGTCGTCTTTAGGAAATTTCTTTCGGCTTGTGTATCACATGCATGTATATATATGTATATATGTGTGCAATTGAGCTTATATGCGAGTTGACTTATTTTTTTTTTAATAACATAAAACATTATTTTATCAACTTTTATTGCTTGGGATCCCAATTAATTCATGGAATTTTATTGGCTTGAATTTGTCGAAGGAATTGGCCGTTGGCGGTTAAAGAGTGATTTCATTTACATATGTATGTATATATGGATGTGTGTGTGAATATGTCATATTCAGGAGTGTTTTTATGTAGCATGCAATCAATTTTGGGGATAATAAAATCTACATACATACATAAATTTCGGTCGATTGTGTTATGTGTCTTTGAATGAAAGCAATCACAATTTATTCGTCCTCTTAATTGAAAAATTATAATTTTCTTAACAAAGTGATCCTCGAAAATTAGCGTCATTTAGGATCTAAATGAAAGCACAACCCTCGTCTATGTACTTTAAATAAACTTAAGAGTGCCTTAGAATAAAGAGTGGGTCACGAAAAATTTTGGTTTTCAAATTGTTACCAAAATAAGTCGGATAAATATTTTTTAATTGTTTTGCATTCTTTTTAAATGCCTTAA